TCAGTTTGTTACGTCAATTATAAAATTCAAAAGTCTCTACAAACCCTTTATAGGAAACTTTCATTCTATTCTCCTTAGGCTTTATCAAATTTTTTGTCGATTTAAACACCATATTGTGAATTGGTTGAAGTTAGACATGAGCGTCGTCAGATACCGGCCGGCTCAGTGGTCTAGAGGTTAGGCATTCACGCGTGAGACCGTTAAGTCCTGGGTTCGAATCCCATACACAGGATAGTAGATGTGCACTGTTGAGTAGTCCGATACTAGAACGAAACAGTCATCCAGTGCTTCCAAGTTTTCCATGGTGGTCTAGCTTCAATTGACTTATAAATTCAACTGTTAAATATACATCTATTTCTCTAAGATTCTTTATTTTGTGATAGACTCAGCCAAAAAAAACAAAAAATAACAGGAATAAATACCCCCCCCCTACCTATCTACCTACTTAGTGATAGTATTCCACAGTAAAAAAAATATATGTAAAACAGATAAATAAACATATTGCTTATCAGTTGCTATGGTTCACATGATGAAAAACAAAAGTTCCATTTATATTCTATCAACAACAAAAAAAACAAGAATAAAATCCAATTTTATATGTTCATTGATTTACAATTTGTCAGACTAAACATTGAAAATTTTTAAGAAAATAAACCATAAATAGACAAAATAAAATTTGTAACTAACTACAATTGAAATCCAAGTAATGTGTTTAATAATTATTTCATCAATTCATTAATAGTTTAGATTATAGACTAATCTTAATTGGCAAACCTATCATACGCTCATTGATAACTGGCTTCAAGATGAGTATTCTTCGAGTTCTAGCAGAAATTCTTAGCCAGTGAAGTTTAACTGTGTCTATTGTAGAGGCAGTTATTCACTGAAGACAATAGTGGACAGTTACATCAATCAGCTACAACGTAGAACTAGGCACATATATGCATCGGTCCAAGTTGTCATAACTCATTAACACAACAAGATGAACACCGGATTCATAAAAGTAGTTAATTCAGTGGTGGTAATATATAAAAGAAAGATTGCATATAAGGATACAGTACAGGAAGAAAGAATTAGTTCGTAGAAAGAAATATATGGGGCGATTTTAAACTTATAGTTTAAGGGAAGACAAAGAGTGTATAATACCTACGCCATTGTGATCGATTCTGAGCCATGTCACCCAGAGTCTCCGACAGTTACGTAATATATCATAGATTGCCTGAATTTAGACAATAACACCGTTGGATGCTGACCGGCTCAGTGATTTACAAGTCAAGCGTTCAAGTCTCTTTAGTGTGGGATCGTGGATGCGCAAAGCTGAAGAGTCCCATACTAGAGTGAAACGGTCATTCAGTGCTTCGATGCTTTCCATGATAGTCGAACATTCATGATATCAATTGAAACTTAACAATCTCCATAATCCTATACTGAAAAATCAGTAAATACTAGCCAACTATTTCGTGCTATTACCGTTTCAATAGTTAGTTTTATGAAAACAAATAACGATTTTGTGGTTTAATTTCTTAGATCTATCATCTATCAATATACAGAAGATAACTCATCACTAAATTGTTTCCGCTTCAAGAACTACTAGTATCGGTTAAACTGTGGTGCATGCTACTTATATAAGTAGTATATGACGCGAGTCAGGAATGTAATGTCCGGCGGCAGAAGATGGGGAAGATCAAGAAAGGAAGAATGGGAATAGAAAGCAATTAGTATGGAAATGCAAGAACAATGAAGGTCGAGACAATTATTGAACATTTTGCAAATTAAGTATTATAGTATGGTTTTTCTGTTTTACCATGTAACCCTGTAGTTGTGTGCTAAAGATAAATCGGTTGTCCTCTCCTGTTCAATAGGACATATATTAACTAACAGGATATTGAAACTGAAACGAATTATTCTGTAATTCAGTTTTGTATTCTAAATACATGGAAATGGCTTTTAATTAATGTTAACAACAATCCTTATCATGAAACGAAACTTTTCTGATGCTAACCCACCGTTTTATACTCAATAATGTTTATAAGAGTATTTAAAGTAGAAATGAAACCAAATCAATACAAGAACTACTTTAATTTTATTCAATGATATTCCATACAATACAAGGAGGATTTGATGCAGATATTAAGGGTAAAAATTGGTAAAGCAACAACAGCATTCCTACAGTTGAAGAACACATGGAACTCAAAATAAATGTCAACCAATATGATATTCAGAGTCTTCAATACGAAAAAATGCTAATTAGAATGCAACCAGGTCTGTTGTGAGATAACAACTCACTGAAGACAATGGTGTACGGTGGCGCAACTTCGTGGATTGGTTGAAGTTAGACATTAACACCGTTGGATGCCGGCTCAGTAGTCTAATGGTTAAGTGCTCGCGCGCGAAGCCAGTAGGTCCTGGGTTCGAGCCCCGCGTGGGGCGGGATCGTGGATGCGCACTGCTGATGAGTCCCATACTAGGACGAAACGGCCGTCCAGTGCTTCCAGGTTTTCAATGGTGGTCTAGCTTCAACTGACTCATGATTTCAATCTGTGAAATTTCTAAAATCTCCACAAAACCCATTCTGATATAAATATCAAAGTTAGAATGTTCAATACCAATGTCAAGACAGTGCTAAGGAACGGAGCTGAAAATTTGAGAACTACTAAAACCATCATCAAAATGCACAAGTATTTATAAACAATTGTCTACGCAAGATAATCAACATCCATTGGTCGGATATTATCAACAACAGCCCTCTGTGGGAGAGAACAAACCAGCTTCCACCTGAAGAGAAAATTAGGAAAAGACGTTGGAAGTGGATAGGACATACATTACGGATATCACCAAACTGCATCACGAGGCAAGCCCTAACTGGGGATTCTGAAGGGAAGCGGAGAGAATGGAAGGCCAAAGAACACTGCTTCAGAATTGGAAGCAGACATGAATAGGATGGATAGCAACTGGGAAGGATTGCCCGGTACAGAGTTGGATGGAGAATGCTGGTTGGTGGCCTATGTGAAAAAGTCAACTTTTTAGAAATACTACATAAAAAATAATAACAATTCGAAGAGGATTAGTAAATGTATAGTGAATACAGTATTAAGGAATTACTTGGTTGTGAAATATTTTCTCTTTAACTACAGTACTGACTAGCTAGCCTAGACTAGAGAAAGTCATGATATATATATATATATATATATATATATATATATATATATATATATATATATATATATATATATATATATATATATATATATATATATATATATATATATATAACTGGTCACTTGCTAAGCAACGAGATTATCCTAGTGTAACGTATTTGAAATTTTACCACACTCAAGCCTCCATTGGCTGAGCGTCTTAATTTCACGTTAACTTTGTTATCGTTATATTATTCTGGATTGCTTCATTAATTAAAATCAGTGGATCTTAAGTACTCACTGAGTTGTTGATTAGCTGTTTCTCTTATTCTTCCCTGTTCCAGATTCTCATAGACGTTAATCTGCGGATACTTCTTCAGAATAAAGGAAACCTCCAGATTAAACAATCTACCGCAGTCTAAACGACACATGTCTAACAAGCTTTCTCACACTACTCTTCTACTTTATAATGGTCTACTTATTTAGTGAAATCGATTAAAAACACTACATAAAGAAATGAAGTATTCAGTGTCCAAAAGTTTCCGATATGTTATAACTTGTCAGTTGAATGCTACTTGGTATATCTGGTCATCGCTGATTGGTATGCCGGAAACTTATCACTTATACTCGAAACGAGGGACCTCTGCAATACCCACGACACGAAGACTGGTATAAGTGAAGATTTATTAACGCCAAAACACGATGACGACGACTCGAGTCGAAAATACACTCATTTATATATTGATTGTACACCCATTTTGATTAATAATTAGGATGAAATCACATATATAAACAATACTTACTTACTCATTTAGGCCTCTTACCCTGTTACATAGTTCATGTCAATTAAATACAAGAATATCGTATATTATTCCGAATAAAATGTCATATGGGGAAACAAAACCGAATACTACACTAGATTGAATCAAAACAAAAGTAATGTTGAACCAAAACTCATAATGAGTAAATCAAATCTTGACTTTTCTTCCCGTCATATCACGATACAAGTAAACATTCGAGTTAGGTTAGTTTCCTTATTTAACATATAGAGTAAGATCAGGTATATTGCATAATAATTCTCAGTTTAAAAGACAAAACTATATTCACCATATTTATCTATTACTATGACTAATATTGCGATCATTCCTATTCCTCTAATTATCACATTGTGGAACCCCTCAACTACTGCTCATATGAAATGTGGTTAGAATGGGGGATCGTGGAGATCTAAAGTGGACCGCATGTGGGACTCGAACCCAGGACCTTTATTCATACGCGCGAACGCTTAACCTGAAACGTCAATTTATGCCAAATCTTATGATCCTTACTACTAATTGACTTGTCTGAGTCTAATCTCATCGGTAGCACATACAAACCACTTCATATATCACACACTGTAATTTTTATATTTACCACGATCACTAATACTCGTCTGTCAGTAAACTTGATAGTAGTAAAGCAGTTTCAAAACAGACGACACATTTTAACCCAGCTATATTAAAGCTCACAGAAGACTATGAAATATTGAAAACTAACTGCATAAAAGTAGAATTAATATACCATAAATTTCAACAGAGTCCCACAATAGGATGAAACAGCCGTCCAGTGCTTCCAAATTTTCCATAGTGGTCTAACCTTCAATTGACTCATGAACTCAACCATTGAAATTACTATAATATCCACAAAAATCCCTCTGAGATATAAAATGATCTATGATTACCACACACACACACACACAACAATTCACTTCATCCTAGAAGTCGTCTAGTACATACAAACAACTTCAGCGAGAACAATCAATAGATATTGAACATAATCGTCCAATGTGTCCAATTACGTGAAAATCATCATACAATATTACCAATGAAATCAAAACATATAACTAATGAACAACAAATGACTTCTATAATAATAATCCACTCTTCATCGATCTTAGTACACTTGAAATACTATAGAGATAAAAAGAAGAGAACACAATGACAACTCTAATTTGCAGTAAATTAATGCATGTATATTTATCCAGATATATATAGAGAGAGATATTCATTATACAATTGTCTTGTTGTGTTCATGTATTCGCCATTCAAATCAAATGTCATCGGTGAATTGAAAATTAAAGAAAAAGCATACAATATTAAATAGAGTAATAATAATAATAATAATAATAATAATAATAACTATTATTATCCATATGATTTGGAGCATTTAAGTAGTAATAGCAATAATAAGTGTTATTATAATGCACTAAATTAATAGAAATAGTTGATTTATCCATAGTAATTATAAGCTTGACTGATTGTTCACTAAAAATGAAGTGTAAAGCATTGTTCAATTTAACCCTATTTAATAATAATAGTAAGAAGAAGAAGAATTAAGATAGAGATAGAGGGAATATGAGGTAAAAGCTATCAGGAAAGAAAACAAACAAACAATTAAGAAAAGTATTAGAGAAATAAATATACAACATGTACATATACGGTTATTTCATTGTCACATTCATGTGCACACATACAGCTGTGTGTGGTAGGTACGCAAAGGCATATATATATATATATATATATATATATATATATACCAGTTACCATGCTGAACTAATAACACTATTTGTGCATGATCTAATGACAACAAAATAACACAGAAGACAGTAAGAATTTCATTGAAAAATCAAAGTATAGTAGAAGAAAACAAGGATGTAATATTGTTATATATGTGTATATATATCTAAGGATAAAACGAAGATAGTAAACATCATTAGGAGAGGTATGGTTTCACACAAACCCAAACACACACACACACACACGAAGTAATGATCAAAAGAACACAACAAAACAAAATGTAAGATAAAATTTCATTTTTCCTATACAAAAATATATGGATAATATATAAAGTGTAATGAGCAATTTAAGAATAAGCAAAATGAGAACAACATATATAAACATTCCAATTGAATAGATTCATAGAATATTCAATGAATTAATGGAATGTACCAATACTTGGTTATAGTTTATTATTATTATTATTGTATAATTTGTATAATATGTATCAGCAGTACAAACAATATACATGAATAAAACAAATATGCATTCACAATACAACAAAACATTGTATAGAAATTAAAACCAAAGAGAGGGGGAGAAAGAGAGAGAGAGAGAGAGAGGAAAACAATACGAGATCATAAACATAATAATCCAAGCATAGATACACTTATATGAATTGGATAAATATTAAACGAAAATAACCATTCACCAAAACCGAAAAGAAAATATATCGTAGATGAATACATCATCGAGTAAAAAAACGAAAAAAAGAAAGAAAAGAAAAAGAAACCCTATTCCATTACATCATCATGACAAAAAAAGGAAAGAAGAAATCTTGTCAACAAAAAAAAATTCAGAGATTTACATATCATTCTACTTGTTTCATAGTTCATACTATAACATAATAGAAAATGAATGAATAATTGATTCAATTAATTGAATAAACACATATTCATTTATGAATTGGATTCAGGGAAATAATCAGTTAAAAAAAAAGAAGAAGAAATCATTTGAAACCGGTAACAATAGAACAACATTGATAATTGAATGAATAAATGAAGTAAAAATAATTAAAAAATAAAGTTTATTTTTTTCTCTGTTTTTTTCTGTTTTCTCTCAAAATAATGATAGAAACTAAGCGAATCATCATCTTCCACACACACACACACACACACACAAATAATAATAATAATAATACTAATTACAGTAATAGTAATAATATTTGTTTATTTATTCATTCATCTAATGACGACAAAATTATTATTATTATTATTATAGTTATATCGGAAATGCCTGAAGAAGTTGCAAAACCATAAAAAAAACAAAGAAAACAAGCAGTAAACAATGTCTGAAAGCCTTAGACACACGCACACGCACTATAAATATATAGTCGTTATTTTTGTTGTTAGTCTCCTGTTTCTCTTGTCCCCCGCGTCACAATCCCCACGTAATTTACAATACAAATGACATGTAGTCTACAAACCTATATGTCTATGCCCGTACAATCTTTAATGATAGCAACAATAATAATAATAATAATAATAACGTATACATGTACATATGTGGATATCTCAATATGAAATCTAATCACCATATTATTTTAATCAAACATTATAAATCAACCACAAAATGACTAACTTAAATCCACAACATTTAATGATGACGCTGATGTTGGTGATAATGATACAAGAAAAGAAAAAAAACAGCATGAACAACAACAAAAGACAATAAACAGAAGAAAGAAGAAAAAAAGGACAAGAAGGAGAAAACTAATGATTGAACATAGAGTATCGGATTAAAGAGTAACAAAGATGCATAGGAATAGGAAGTGTAACTTACCTTCCTTTAAAGAAAAAAGTATATGATTATTTATCAGTCAATTTTGTTAACATGCCACATGTGAAGGTTGTATCGTTGATAATGATGTTGAAGGATGATGAGCTACAAAAAAATTGATTGTAAAATTATGAAGAGAGAAAAGAAAAAGAAAATAATTAAAATAATATGGTATTTTCATTCATAGATCATTACTGAATAGTAAATGAAGAATGTCATATTTGTATCTAGCTATTATTACTTAAAATTTCACAGGTTGAAATCATGAGTCGATTGAAGCTAGACCACCATGGAAAACCTGGAAGCACTGGACGGCCGTTTCATCCTAGTATGGGATTCCTCAGCAGTGCGCATCAACCTGTGAAATTTCTAAAACTCTCCACAAAACCCATTCTGATAATAATCAACTGCTCACTAGTGACTGACTTCAGGAAAAACTCCTGGAGTTCTAGTGAGAAGCCGTTACCAGTGGAGTTCAACCAGGTCTGTTGTGAGATAACAACTCACTGAAGACAATGGTGTACGGTGGCGCAACTTCGTGGATTGGTTGAAGTTAGACATTAACACCGTTGGATGCCGGCTCAGTGGTCTAATGGTTAAGTGCTCGCGCGCGAAGCCAGTAGGTCCTGGGCTCGAGCCCCGTGTGGTGCGGGACAGTGGATGCGCACTGCTGAGGAGTCCCATACTAGGACGAAACGGCCGTCCAGTGCTTCCAGGTTTTCAATGGTGGTCTAGCTTCAATCAACTCGTGATTTCAACCTGTGAAATTTCTAAAATCTCCACAAAACCCATTCTGATATTATTACTTGTTTTAAAGAGTGCTAACTGATTTCTACTGACCAGTTATAACGTGTTGGGTTGAAGATGCTCGACTAGCTTTTGCCAACTTGCATCATTTACGGAGTAGGGGAGAAACCCGTCTACCAACCAAAGGATATTTTCACTGAGCAGCAGTTCGTTACGTCCTACTTTATGGCTGTAAAACATGACCGATAAGAGTAGAGGATATTCGTAGGTTACCATTATTAGATCATAGGTGTCTTCAAAACATTGCTCGTATATCCTGGGACCACCGAATAATTAATGCAGTTGTTAGGAAACGGGTACTAGGTAAGGATGGCAAATCAATTGATGAAGTAGTGAAACTTCATCAGTTGAGATGGCTGGGACACGTGTTATGTATGCCCAACCACCGATCGCCCCGACGTGCGATGTTTTATGGTGTAGGAGTAGGTTAGGAGAAAGCTAGGGACGGCCAGGCCAAAACATGGCACAAGCCCATGAAGTCACTGACAAGTGGACTGAGTCATGTAGGTAGGTGTAGATTACCTGGTTGGGATCCGGGAGACGATAGCAACCGAAGGTTAGAAACCTTGAATGACATGGCGCAGGTGCATCCACTCTTTTTTTCCCCCCAAGTTCTAGTCTTCTGAATTATTCATATCCTTTATTTTCTTTTCAAATATATTTCACAGAATTATACTTCTTGAATAACATATTCAAACCCAAATCTTTCCGATTACTGCTTATACTTTAACTACCTCTACCACTATGGGATTTGAATCGACAATTGTATCTGTGTGCTAATGTGGTATGGCAACTGGAACTGATGTACGTACGTACGTACGAAGTTCTACGTTGTTGCTGACTGACTGGGTTGGAGATAGTTGATAGGAAATCCTGAACTTAGATTTCGTGTTATTTGGTACTACTCAGAAATGTATACTAGTAATTTTTTGGGGGGGTTGAATTGGTGCTACCTGGCAAATTCGATTCCAAAGCACTGAGCTTTAAGTTTAGAGATGTTACAATTGAGCTATCCAGGTTGCAACTGATCTCCTATATGACTGAGATGTACACACAATCAATCGATCACTGAATAATGATAAATGCCATGTATGTCAAGCCTATTTTAGTGCAAATCAAATTCTATCAATCAAGTTGCAATGTGACTACCAATCGCGGCCCGTATAGTTTAGTGGTAACGTCCCTGACTACAAAGCTGGGTGCCATGGGGTCGAATTCGCTAAGGAGCCTCAGTTTCTTCAAAATTACTGGTACAACTTGCTGACTATCACCAAATAGCATAAAACCTAAGTTAAGGATATCCGGTCGACTACCTCCAACCACCACATTACATATTAACATAGTGTATGCGATATCGAGTCACCTATCTATTTAAAATAAGAAGGATCTGACATACATGACATTTATCACTACCCTGTGATCAACCAATTGTAAAAAAATTAATTGACTTGTCTAAGAGGCTAAATATCACACTCACTGTTGATGTAAAATGATTGGAGCTAGTAACTAGAAAAAAGCCAGTATTTAAGTTTCGTATTAGTATCAGTAATGCATACCTATACCGTTCAAAACTTTGGAGCTAGATGAAATAAGTTCGAATCTCAGAGGGACAGTTGAGATTTCCGGTACTGCTACCCGGCAAGTATCATCTAACACAAAATCTAAATAAATGATTTCTTCCCAACTACCTTCAATCGCCCGACAATTGTCATTTCATGTAGCCGTAGCTCAGTGGTTATAGCATTCAAATTTTAGCCATCAAAATGGAGCAGTGACTTAATGATTAAAGTGGTGAAATTAAATTATACTTGAAATATTGAGAGATTTCAGGAACAGACCTTAAGAAATTTTACCCATTTATTAGCTGAGTAGAAGGTAAATGTTATAGAGGAGTTATAAATAAGTTGTAGAAAAACCAAAAACATGAGATGTATATATACTTTTTATATAGATAATAATCTTATCAAGGTTTGTAACCGGTTGATCGGATTCAAAATCAAATTATATCCTATACAAAAGAACTCGTTCATATGACTCTAGATTGTTTTAACTTTACAGCATTTAAAATGGGGGGAAAAATTGTTTTTTTCGATATGACTATATTGCTTCAATATTATTAGTGTAGATACCAGTTATAGAGTCACACAATTAACTAATTATTATGATCATATATCGGGAAGCACCTATACGTTATTCAATTATCTGTATACATGGTAGTCTTCGATTGCACACGTCATACATAAATGAATAATTTTTCTGTATCGGTTAGGCTATAACAAATAGACAACCTTGAAAGATCTAACAAACACTCTTGACTAAGTCCTGAGCTACACTAAGTACACCCTTACAAATACAATCTGCGTCAAAAGTAGACTTTTCTTGGAATTTAGCATTTACCGTAGTTACACTATATATATATCAATTTTGAGCAGAAATTTGAGACACAGCTATCTTACATCTAATTGATTCGTCAGTATAGTACAGTTCTGTGATTAAAACATTCAGGTTTTACCAGTAGGTCGAAGGTTTCAATGCTTCTCTACTTTGGTTTGAGGATCCAAGTAGCAGATCATAAATATAAAGTGTAACTCAATCTACTTTATATAAATATGTACTTACTAAGTTAGTTAAATCTGTTCAGTAAATATCGAATTTACTATTTCTGAGCACACATAGAAATATAACAGTGTCTATTAATAGATAACAATTATTTGTAATTGGGTCATCACGTCAACCAGGCATATATGTTGGTATATGTTCATCCTGTGCGGATTGCCTTGATATTACCATCTTATTTATTTATTTATTTAAACACATAAACATTGGTACAAGGAGGCATCACATACATATGCACCAAATAAATCATTCGGTTTGTTTGAGGGCTGGGATACTGCCCAGGTGCCCAAATCGAAACAGGTGGTTTTTTTAGGGGCAACACCCGGAGCCTTTGACCTAAAAGTCTAATCCACAAGGCAGTGGAGCAACGTCTGGAGATGCAGTCCCATGGTAGCCGGTGACCAACAATTGGTTCATACGCCTATTTTTCCCTCACGATCCTGTAGTCCATGTTCACTATTGGTTTGGAATTGTGGTTTTCCAACTCCCATAGGTGGACTATCCGTGTCCACCAAACCGGTTAAAGCGCCGTACATTCGCTTTTCGTCCTCTCAATTTCGTCAACAACGCCCACGTCGCGAGATGACAGTGAGTAGGACTTCCCTGGCAGTGGTTATATGCACGTGGCCATGTGAGAGCAATTCAATAGGGAGAGCTAACTCTCCCTATCAAGTTACAAGCATTATAAGCAGAGATGAATAGTGGCTAGCAGTGGAATTCAAAACGCAACTTTTTGTCCTATTCGGGACTCGTCAAATGGATGTACCTGCATCTCAGAGTTGATGTCCAATCTGGGACTCCAACCTAGTACCGTCCACTTTAAACGCCATCACGTTATCTACTTAGCTACTGAGTCCAGACAACTACTAGCTTGTGCAATTGGGTGAAGTTTTAATTCATTGATGTTAACGACGACAATTGATCAGTCTTCATAGCTCATTCAAATGAAATTTGTGATTTTTAAATAAAGATTTTAAAAAAAAACACGAATGGGGATTATATGTCAAATAAAGGTTTTTAATAGTTGAATCCAAGAGTCGATCTATGCTAAAAAAAAATTACTACAATCTCCACAAAACGCCACTGTAATAAAATAAAGGTTTCACATATTCTCTGTCTCTGTTTCTATGTGTCTCCTTCTCTCATGTATTGACTACTTTCAAAACAACGACAATATGACCTTTGTCTCTTTCTTGTTTTGTTTCATTAGGTCAACATAAAACAAATATCATAGAAAAATGTGCGTATATATATATATATATTCAACGGAAGAAATGCGAATAACATAAGGAAATTATTCAGATAACGGCAAGCCTATAAGCACACACACACACACACACACAATGTGTGATTCAACAGGACATAAAAACGATAGCCAAAACAACAATAAATAAATAAATAATGATCAAATAAATGATAAGAAATTCTTGTATACATTTGTAATATTGCTTGATTTGTAATGTCGCTAGTTCCACAATTAGTCATTTACAACTAAATGGGGAAATCAAAAGACGTACAGTCATACAAGGATTGACGTTATTAGTAACGTTTCAATTTCAATAATTGTGTTGTATCGAACACATTAGTTTCATCTAGTGACCGAGTGTTGTATATTGGAATGTTATTTTCACTAAACATTCTATTTCGAGTCTCTGAAATTATCGGCAACTATTTGCTATAAACATAACAGCGTGACGCAGTCCTACATGTCGAATGGGAAACACACATATGTTGCAAAAATCAGGGCTTGGAATGGGATCTCGGATGAAAATTACACGATAACAGCTAGCATCAGCCCGATTAATGAACAGAACGGAGGTCAAATGTGCTGGATACATTCACCAATAGGTATCCGCTCAGTAGTTAAAAGGTGAAGTCTTAGCTGCGACACTTGAAGCTCAATCCTTAGTGTGGTCCTGGATGTGTAGTGTTGCTGAGGAGTAATATACCAGGACGAAACAACTGTTCGTTACTTTCAAGTTTTTAATGATCCTCCGACTGAAATCAATCCATAACTGTTGAATATAAAATGCTCAAATCAACTACATAAACCATAATACAATATTTTTCAATCAGCTTTTACAGTAGTTTCTATTATTATAAGGGCTAACCTGTACGAAAAAAGTTTGAAAAATTACTGTGGGCATAGCAGCATACAATTACAATTAGAAAATATGAAATCATGAGTCAAATTAAATCGGTATTAAAAAAAAGGTAGATTTGAACAAAAAAGACAACAGTTACCAAATATATGTTGATCTGTAGAATGAGGTGTTGACAGACTTTCATGATTAGGCCACTCTGATGAGAGACCACTGGTTTTTGATAGAGAATGTGAAGATATTGGAAGAGCACTATTACTTTCATGTTGTGATGTTAACCAGTTGTGATTTGAAGAAGAAACAGGCGGACCACTACCACCATTAACGTCACAACCACCTTGATGTTGAGATGATGATTGTCGAAAATCACTATAGGCTGAATCCTCACCGCTACCCGAACAAGGTGCGTCACCTAGAGACCAACTTGTAAAATGATGTGGAACCGGAGAGAAAGACGGAAGTGACGGAGGTGGGTAGTCTGGAGGAGGAGGTATAATATCTGCAAGTGACAGTTGTCTACCACGTGCCGCCTGTTGCATAACACCATAATCCATAGGTGCATGATCAAATATTACAGGTTGAATCACTGATACACTAGCATACGGTGTAGCATGATCTTCTGATGATGGATTATGTGAACTATGAGTAGGAGGCAAAGGTAAACATCCATTCGGTAATAAATGAGTTGTACCATTGTGCATAAGCTCTGATGGACAATGAGTGCCTCCAGATAACACTAAAATGTAACGATGAAAGAAATCGGCTAAAATCACAAACGATAATCGTTAATTGTAAACAGTGAAATTCTTAATATTTAGACAAACTTACTGACTTAAATCAAAAAACGTTTTACCACATAAACCTTAATTTATAATGTTTCATACGATGTTATTTATTTAAACACATAAATATTGGTACAAAGGGGCAATATATATATATATATATATATATATATATATATATGCGCCACACAATAACAATGAGAATGTGAAGTTCAAATAGCAAAAGTACAGTCACAAAGAATTCTTCCACTTAAGGAGATTACGTCTTTTTTTATTAAAAAAAAAAGTAAAATAAGGTTACAGCAGGATACACGAACTTCTCAATTACTTCTACCTGCTCACCATCCAGGGTGAGTACAGGATTAGAATCCTGCCAGTCTTGTACAAGTACTTTGCACTTCGAAGGTGCAAAGCACATACCGTACTTACGGACACTGATTGCCAACTGATTAAGTGCGGATTGCATGCCTTGGGCATTGTCGCACAGTAAGACAATATCATCCGCATACTCAAGGTCGAGAAGTCTTTCTCTAGGCAACAGATCCACACTACCATTACCTACATCCATCACAGCTGTTTCCAGAATGTCATCGATGGCAAAGTTGAACAGGAATGGTGAGATTGGGCAACCCTGCCTAACCCCACTGCTCGAATGGAACAATGGAGAGAGGTGGTTGTATGCCCTCACTCTGCCTGAGGTGTTTGTATGTAGGGCTTTTAGGATGTTAATAAACTTCTCTGGCACACCCTTCTTCAATAGACAATCCCAGAAAACAGTCCTGTCCAACGAGTCGCAGGCAGCCCTGATGTCAAGAAACGCTACGATTGTTGGCCTTTGATAAGTATGGCGATGTTCTAACATTTAGCGGAAGGTGAAGATATGATCAATACATCCTCGACCAGAACGAAACCCAGCCTGCTCCTCGCGAGTCAATCTTTCTCGGGTTTTGAACAACCTACGAAGTATGACGGAAGCCAACAGTTTGGATGCAATCGGAAGTAGACTTATCTCCCGATAGTTCTTACAGGAACGAAGTGAACCCGTTTTAAAGATAGGGATAACTATAGACTCATTCCATGACGTTGGTACACTCTCTAGTTCCCAGACTTTTGTAAACAATGTCGGCATTTTCTTAGCCAGAAAGTCACCACCATCTTTGAAAAAGGCCGGAGGTAAGTCATCTGGGCCCGGTGATTTGTAGCGCTTCAAGAGTTGGGATTCCTTGTGGACTTCCGTCTCATTTGGTGGATCAGTCGTCACGGACCATGGAGGGAAGGACAGACTGGTCGATATTGTCGGGGCAGCAGACCATTTGAACTGCCCTTCGAAAAATTCTGCCTATCGTCCAAGAGGTCGATGGGTGTTAGTGATTGGCATCCGGTCATATTCATAGATTGTTCCGCCCACACCAGACTTCTTGCTGCCAATGGCTCGGATGAGTTGAAAAAGCTTCCGGTAGTTACCAGATGCAGATGCTTCTTCCAAATAATTAACGCGCTCCGGACCATCAGGTTTCTCAGTCCTTACGCAAGCCTTGCCCAATTTCATTACGTAACAGTCGACGTTTGTGGGCTTCAATGATTTGTAAGGAGCTTGAAGCCCAGTGCTTATAAGCGGGACGTTTCGCGAACCCACAACTGATTTAACTCGCCATTTTCATGGCGTCATGCAATTGCAACCAATGCTCATCTATACTTTTTGGTGGAATGGTAGCTAGCCTAGAGGCTAGCTCGGTTCGATACTTACTTGCAACAGAAATTGCAACCAATTTACTAAAACATCAATCCGTTTAGGACGATGAATTTATTGGCCACTGAAAAGTAAGGTAAAATTAGACAGAAAAAGGGCATGATCAGAGTCCAGATAGATACTCCAAAAAGAGCGGCAGTCTTGTACACAACCACGTCAGCGGTAGCTGATCGCGGTGTGATCGATTTGAGTCCAGGCCTGAGATGTAGATGGAGGACGCCAGGTGGCACATCGGCGATGACTGTGCCGGTAGTTAGTGCTAGCCAGAAATAGGTTGTGGTCTGTGCACAGTTGCAGTAGATTGTCCCCGTTATCTGTCCTGTGACCAACAAGTTCCCATCGGCCACCTAAACGATTCTCTTCTGTGCCTAGACATCCAACCTGAACATTCAAGTCTCCGGCTAGTACTACAATATCTGTCGGACGCACTTTCTGGAGAAGAACAGATAACTGGTGGTAAAACTCATCCTTGATTGCATCCGGGCTGCAATCTGTCGGAGCATAGGTGGAGATGACGAAAAGACATCATTTCTCATACCGATTTCTTCTAATTTGATGGAGCTTCCTAATCTAACAGCACATAACCGACTGTTAATGGGGATCCAATCAATTAGTGCTGCTCAGCTCTAACGTTTAGTGTGACACTTTCGCCATCAAGACCAGACGAAGATGCCACAGGGTCCCTGGATAAACGCACATAAAACAAGCTTTTCGAAGCGATAGATGGAGAGCGAAATCATAGTACTTTACTAGAGTCTTGAGTACGGGTCTCGGATAGACAACAGACGTCGATATTAAAACTTTCTAAAGACATAGCCAAGCCTGTCTGTTGTCCGATCTGCGTTAGTGTGTGAACGTTGAAGGAGGCCAGTTTGAATGGTTTACGTGGTTTCAATATTCGTAGTCGGTGGTAGCATCCAACTTCCAACCAGTCAGTGTCTTGAGGTTGTTTAGATAGGACAGGATTTCCACCATAGGCGAGCTGATGTATAAGTCGAAAAGTAAAATACGCAAAATGAGAACAAAGGGAAATACATGAGTGACGTAGTATAGAAGAAATAAAAGCGAATGTTATCAAATGATTGTGATTGGGATCTGTCTAAATGCGAATTGAAGCGAGAATATTTTTTCCAGTAGTAGTCATCATTTGGTTTGTGTGAGGGCTGTGATACTACCCGGGTTCCCAAACCGAAGCAATTGGTTTTTTTAGGGGGCCACACCCGGAGCCTTCGACGTAAAGGTCTGATCCACAAGGCGGTGGAGCATCGTAAGGAGGTGCAGTCCCATGGTAGCCGGTGACCAACGACTGGTTCATACGCCATCTTCTCCCTCATGATACTGGGGCCCATGTGCACCATTGGTTTGGAATCAGCATTTTCCAACTCCCCTAGGCGAACTCTCTATGTCCACCAACACTGTTAAAGCGCCGGACATTCGCTTTTCGTACGATGTTGGAAAACGGTTACACTTATATGCATTACAGTTTTTTAGACCGATCCGAAAAGGAACAAACGCACTAATCGACGAAATTTACGAATTTGTGAGTGATGTAAAATGGAGGAAATTTTGAAAAATGTTACAAAGACGAATAGCATTAAACAAGTTGGACTTATATAGATACATTTAAATATTAACTGAGAATGAAAATGACAGTATTAGCTTTTGCAACATAATGTATGTGAAACATTATGCTATCTCTTACGATCACAAAACGAGGAATTAAAATAGCCCTAACTTTTACAAAACACTCAATGAATACTTAATCAATTGGTTAGTGAGAATATGGTTTCATCTTAAAGGGAAGTTAAATAAGCTGAAAAATCATTTAAGAAACGATGACTCAGAGACTAACTCATTTAATTTCCAGCCATAACGTCGTACATTCGAACTCGCCCCACCTAGTTCGGTATGGTCAATCGGGGATATTATTAGTAGCCACCCATACTTGCAGTGCAGTCTGAATGTGATGGAAGAGTTGAACTACGAGAATCACTAAAACCAGCGATCGATGGGACTAGCCGTTTCGTCTTATTTCAGAAACATCTTTCACAGAGTATAATTTAAGAACCTGAATAGGATAACCCAACCGTTGCTGCTACCTTGACGTGGCGGTCGGGCTTGCTTACTGTGATGAATCAATCGAGCTATACTGGCTGAGACAATCGTTCTTCAAGGTCATGCCAAGACAGACAGGTCGGTTGAAGACCAAAAGCACCAAACCGAAGGTCCGAAGGCGAAGTCGTACTGCTGACTGTACAGAGGTGTGACGGCAGTAAGATGTTTCCTTCAGACAACCAGCATAACAGCGATGCTGCCTTCTCACAAAGAGGGGTGGGGTTAGAAAAGGTCGACACTAAAAAATGTGCATCTCGCCTTATCCCACGGATATCCGTCTCCGGCGGTAAGGTCTCAACAAGTACCGAGCTAACACGAAAATTACTCATAAAAAGGTCGTATGTGGCCGACCTCAAGCAGTTGTCCCTCGGGCATTGTGATCACGCTCTCAGGTCACCAAGACCAACTCTAATCCAAGTTCCTTTTCAGGTACCTCTAGAAGAACTGTTCCACAGTGTGGACAACCGGGAAGTGATAATCACCCTCATACATCCAACAGCACTCAAGATCACTATATTCATAATCAATCTCCCTCTTCGACTCCTATTATTCCTCCTTCTTCGACTTTTAGCTCTAAGCTTGCTCTTTTGACTTCCTCCTCAAGTGTCACCATAGCCAACGATTCTAGTGCTCAAAGCACTCCCAGGTCTACTAAAACCTCGCTCCAAACTACACATTGGAGCCTTCGGCTCACGCGCACTATGTCAAATCAGTCAGCAGGCCTTCTTGGCTAAAACCCTAGAATCTCGTACCATTGATATATGTTGTGTCTCCGAAACACGCATACAGGATCCTAGTGTGGTCATTCACTTGACTCACCTCGCTAAAACGAAAAGCCAACGAGATACACCCTCCGTATATCTGGTGACCCGACAGCCAGTTCTCATGGACTGGCAGGTGTGTGTATAGCACTAAGCATGAGGGCGGAACAAGCACTGTTAGAGTGGATGCCCGTTAACAGTCGTTTATGTGCTGTTCGGCTAGACGGTCCCGTAAAAACTCGGAAGGATAGGGACACACGTTGTTGCCTTTTTGTCGTTTCTCCCTACGCTCCCACTGACTGCAGCCCGGATTAAATGAAAGATGATTTTTATAGAAAGCTTTCTAAACTTCTTCATAAGAATAAACACTCAGACATAGTGCTCGTAGCAGGTGACTTAAATGCCCAGATAGGTAGCTTAAACCAAGCAGGAAGACATTTAGGTAGGTATTTCAGTATTCCAGCTCAGCGAACAGATAATAGTGACCGTCTGCTGCAAATGTGCTCAGACAATCATTTACTTTTAGCAAGCACTAATTTTAAGCATAAGGAGAGACATCGTCTAACATGGCGACCCCCTGCACCAAACTAGCGATAGACTTAAGTAGACCATATTGCCATCAGTCATCGCTGAAGAGGCTCAACAGAAAACTGTCGTTCATTCTGGAACACCTGTTTGGACTCCGATCATGTTCTAATACGAGCACGGGTTTACTTGCACCTCAATGGACGCAAAGAAACCACATTAAGAAAACCCAATAGTCTAACTCAGTGACGAGGAAGCCAAAAGTAAATTCCAGGAACAACCAGGGTCACAGGTAGTTCTGAAAACGAGGTTGACCCAAATGTTGCTTGAAAAGATATGCGAACAGCTGTGGAAACAGCAGTGACATCTATTAATGATTTGAACCAGAGGGTTACGAAAAACCAATCGATCTCTACTAAGTTTATTGCACTGATAGATTCTCGAACACTCATCCCATCAGGCTCTGAACACGATGAAGAGCAAAAACAAGACAGATATAGGTTAAACAAAAGTCTGTGGAACGACTGTGAGCAGTGGTGGGCAACGAAAGCAAAAGAGATGAAAAAGGCAGCGACTGTAGGTAACACCAGACGGCTTTTCATACTAATAAAAGAAACTGGAACTACGAAGTCAAGTGTAAGTCAGACTATTTCGGAAAAAGATGACTCTCATCTGCTCCCAGTCCAGACGTTTAGAACGATGGGCGGAACATTTCAGAGAACAGTTCAACTGGCCTTCAGCTACTCTACAACTACCCTCTATTCCCAGACAGTGTGAATAGAACATTGAAGTAGGTCCCCCAACTCTAACTGAAGTCCAACAGACTATAGTTAATCTGAAACGAAGAAGAGCAGTTGGTCCAGATGGATTGGCTCCAGAGGTCTTTAAGGATGGTGGTCCAATTTTAGCGATTAGGTTGACTAATATTTTAGCTAACATCTGGGATTTGGACGTTATCTCATCTGACTGGTCACAATCACTGATTGTCCCAATATGTAATAAAGAGTCAAAATCATCATGTGATAACCATAGAGGGATTAGTTTGACTAACATAGCATCTAGAATAATAGCCTCAATAACGATCGGGCGCCAAACTAAGACTCGTGAACTGCAAACACGAGAAAATCAGGCTGGAATTAAACTTGATCGTGGCTGCGTCGACCACATATTCACCATTCGTCAGGTTCCAGAACATAGGCATACTTATCGGCGTCGAACAATGGTGGTCTTTCTTGACTTAAAAGCAGCATTTGACTCCGCAGACCGCGAGATTCTGTGGCAGTGTCTGTCATTGAAAGGTGTACCCCAGAAGTACATAAACATTGTGAGTGCACTTAACTCTAACAATACTAGTCGAGTCAGAGCTTATGGCGAACTGTCATCTACTTTTGCAACCTCAAGTGGTGTACGTCAAGGCTGTCCACTTTCTCCATTTTTGTTTAATTCTATTACAGACATACTGCTGGAAATAACGTTCACGTCGTCTGGATTTTCGGGCATCGATCTCCTACCAGGAGGTCCACTTATCGACTTAGAATACGCAGATGATATAGTCCTGTTTAGTGAAGACACTGATAAAATGCAGAGTCCTTTGGCAGCACTAAGCAACAATGCCAGAATGTTTGGAATGCGCTTCTCTCCCTCGAAATGCAAGTTGTTGCTTCACGACTGGTCTGTGTCAACACCTGAACTAAGGATAAAAAGTGAAGTAGTCGACGCGTCGACAACCTCACTTATCTTAGAAGTTTAATCAGCCGTAATGGGTTGGTGTCTGACGAAATCTCAGCACGGATTCGAAAAGCTCGTTTGGCTTTTGCCAACATACGTCACCGATGGTGAATGCGAGATATCCGTCTATCAATTAAGGGACGAGTATACTGCGAAGTAGTTCGTTCTGTTCTACTTTATGTCTGCGAAACGTGGCCATTAAGAGAATATACCCGTAAGTTACTAGTATTTGATCACCGATGCCTTAGAAATATTGCTCGCATCTGCTGGGATCAACGAGTAAGTCATAATGAGGTTAGACACAGGGTATTAGGGAATGATGGTAAATCAGTTGATGAGGTTGTGAATCTTCATCGACTGAGATGGTTGGGCCACGTGTTACGTATATCTGAACACCGATTACCACGACACATAGTGCTGATTAGTGTTGGTTGGAATTAAGTTAGGGGCGGTCAAACCTAAACGTGGCATCAGTGCATGAAGTTACTAACTTCTGGTCACAATTAAGGCGCGTGACCATCACTGATATCCAGAACACTAATCATTAAAGGCTTTGGCATAACCAAACTTAAACTCAATGACCAGATGAAGATTTATATACATCAAGATACAATGTAAACCTATTTTCAATGTAAAAATACATAATCTAGTTCATAAAACCCTAATAAACCGACTAGTTTATCCGTTGGTTTATACGTTTCATACAACAGACTGATCTCAGTTGGGATACCAGTGAAAACTAAGAAGATCTATTTTTATTATTCCATATAGTTTTAATAAAATCTCTTAATAAGACTAGATGATTAATAAAACACTGAAATTCGTTCATATATATAGCATGATAATAATGAAACTTGAATAATTTTAAAATAATAAACTTACATTGAGCACTACCAACTGGGATATTTGGAACTATGACAGCCGGATTATTGTATGAATGATTCTTTAAGTTATCTATAGACAACACTGGATTACCAAGAGGGTACTGTGGTAAATATGTTGGCACTGACTGTAAACTTCCATCATTTGTTAAGGAAAATCCATTGGCCATAGATACAGAGTATGATGGGTCCATTGGACGAGTAAAACCATTTCCGTAAGATTTCTCACAAAATATAGGATCGCACAATTTTGGTGCATGGTTTCTGTCAGATATCATAGATGCATTTACAGAGAGAGGTTCCACCAAAGTAAGAGATGTAGCTTCTGTCTCCGTGGAAGTAGAAAAATTACCCATGTAAATCGGAGGCGAAGCTGTACCCGCTCCCTGTGTGGAATCAACAACGCCAAGACGTCCATTTTTGGCAATTATTTCAGCATCCATCACATCTAAAACAGCATGTCGGCGCCTTTGTCGCTCGCTTCTGTGTCGTCCGTATATGATAAGAGCGAGACAAATGATTACCCAAAGTACACTAAACATAACTGCACTAACAATGAACCACGGTTCTCTGGTAAGGCTACCCTTTTCTTCGTGAATATTGGTAGTTTTAGAATTCATTTGTTCACTAAGCCCCTGTGGTGATGGACTTCCTGGATATAGGCTCCTTCCGTCATACAAAACCCTCCGGAAAATATTTCCAGATTCATACAGATTCGGATTCATTACTGAGAACTTGGATGGTGCTACACCTAATTCTGGAAAATGACCTCGTGTAGGATATGCAAAAATGTAAACCGGTAGTGATCTAACCCCTTCACCATGACAAGTAACTGCAGATAGATAAAGTGTATAATTAGACCATGGATCGAGATCATAAATATGAAAAGATGACTGTTCAATCCCCATCTAAAATACATGAGTAATAAAATCATTTGGATATTTTCTACAAAAAATTTCAAACAGATATTAGTACTATAATTTGATATAAATCAAATCGTTTAATTTTTTTGAAACGATAGAAAGAAATTAGAGGAAAGTTATCAAAGACTATTTATTTTACACTATTATGGACCTCAAAAGATGCTCTAAGCAAAGACAAGGACTACTCCAGATTTGCTATATTCACAAAATTCAAGCACGAAATTAGTAGAAAAATCAATTTCCAATAGTAAGAATTAAGACTGTTGAATAGTTTGAAAGAAAATAGACCACTATAAATCCGAAATGAATTCAGAACAATTTAGCTTATTATCCAAAGTGATGAGGTTTTAATTTCTTTTCACATTATTTCTTTATTATCCTCGTCTCCTCTTACCTTCCATTTCTAGTCTAGTTGACCTTTTATTTTTATGTATAAATGTTTTTAGCAAGTATATTATGCGTGATCAGACTGTTCGAAATGTACTGTGCTAATACATAACATAGTTCTGATAATTTTCGTCTTCTTCTTATTACACTATCGAAATTTGTCAAATGAACTAATTACTTTAGATTTCAATTTAGGTAAATTATGAATAACAGTAAAAAGGACAAAACTAAATAATAGTCTATTTTGATGAATAAACACAGCTTCAGAAAAATAGTAAATGAAAGTCAGTTACTAAGTGTAGATTATGTTTATTTATTTATTTTAACACATTGATATTGGTACAAGGAGGCACCAAATGCATATACGCCACACAAATCTCATTTGATATATGTGAGGGCTGTGATACTGCCCAGGTGCCCAAACCGAAGCAGGATAGATTATGTAGACAACTTTAAACAACACCGTGACTGTTAATGGCACTATTCCGTTGCAGAAACCGAAGTTGGATGGAGTTTGGACCTGTGACCTACTAATTGGAAGCCCAATACTTTAACCAGTCAGTAAGGGTAAATTTTATATTAACTCCAAAAACGGACAAAAACTGGGAGACTGTAAGTAGCTAATCACACAATTATTAGTACTGTGTTATTTTTGAAAGAAATAAAAACTGCTACTCATAATTAAATTAACTCGAAATAACATTGTCAAATAGAACGTTCGATAACAAATAAATAATTTGTCAAAGCAGAATGTCAAAAAATCTGAACGTTACTAAACAGTCAATTAATTCTTACCATTCCTTATAAGGTTACCTTTCCTATCATCATGAAACACTATGATCAAAAATTTGCATTTTTTTCATAGCAACGTTCCTAGGAGTTCTGATATGTAGTATTTTTTTCAGATCTCTTGTGTATATCTCACGTATTGTTTCCGTTATTGTTTACTATCGTTGCTAAATAGTATACAATTATTACATTTTGAGATGACTTACTGATACTATATAAACTCAGTATTCAGTAATTATAGCTTGTGGATTGGTGGGTTAGTGATTAAGTTATCTGAATCTCATCTACGAAGTAGAAGTTTCAAAATCCACCGCACCTAATTCGATTTTAGTAACCTGATAGTATCAATAGTCCTCACAATTAGTATAGAGCGAGCGAAACCAAATACATGAATCTGTACCTGATGGTAAACGAGTATACGAACTAATAAAAAAAACATTGATCCCAGAAATAATGCAGGCATGAAGTGCCAGGCAATAAATGCTAGCTTTTCGTGTTTTTTTATTAATTGGAATATGGTAATAAGAAAATATCCAAACAATTGCTAGTTCATGATTTTAAATAACAATTACTATAATTTAAGTTTTATTTGAATAATGAAATAGTTTAGCGGCTGAAAGCGTTAAACTTTATGTTGTAGGCTCGAAACTCAGTTGATCTATTACACTTTGCGCAGCCAATTATTATTAGCCCAGATATCAGAACTATGACTTAAAGTCAAGTATATAATTCTCTGCTTGATGAAGTTAAACTGATTTTTCATGCAACAAAAGTTATGTATGTACAAACAGTTAAATTTAAACTGATACTTATGTGCATTTACTAATATTTATGCGACGAGATTTATCGTAGGAAAACTCCAAATCAACATAAAAAAGTTGTTTCTCGTACACCACCAATCAAATATTCAAAAGCAACTTCGAAACTGGTACAAATGTGCATGGACCCGAGCTACTACAGTACATGACCACAGCTTTAACTGTATGTGGGATTAATGGATATTTTGATGGTCTAAGTTTATGGCGCGAGGTAATAAAATATATATTTTCCAATCTTATGAAGATTGTTGATGATAAAAGTGATTGTATACCGTTATATGCCTCTGCAGCTTGACCCGAAGCATAGATTTATGTTCCCAGAATATACATCTAAGCGTTAATCGTATTAAATCCAGGCTAATACTTCCAGAAATTAGTTATTAACTATCATTATAGGTTATAAATCTACATGTAATATTACAATTTTATCACATAAAAAGGTGACTTATAACTAAGCCTCTGTACATATGTATGTGATGATTGGGTGTCTAATCTATTAAATATGCACAGTGTTACCCTTATATTTCAAAATTAAAACTAAAACCACTGATACATGAAAATCCGGAAAATTTTATATTTAAATCAAGTAAAAATATAAGTAAAGTAACTTACATTGACAGTACGACTAAGTTTTAGTGCAGTACTTAATATTTTTAAAGAATATCCCGTTAAAATACCTCCACGCTCCCATTCATTTGGTGGATTCCAATCAAGTTGAAGTACAGTTCCATTTTTAAGCCAACGGACATTTGTTATTTGTGGTGCACCTGTTGGTGTGCTGTCATATGTAAGAGCAACTGAAACCTGACTTTTCTGTGAGAAAATCCTGCTATGATCTGGATGGTCAACAAATGTTTCAATACGAATAGCGTAGCATATGAAAGGTCGTAAATTACTAATCGCCATTTTTATACTTGTAGTAGTCACACCTACATGGATGTAGTAATCAACCTTTTCACCATTTAGAAAACTAGGTGGGTTCCAGTCAAGCGATTGCTGTTTTGAAATCCTTGGTAAACTGCACGGAGTTAGGTCATCTTCATAAGAGTCTAATAGATTTTCCATAGATTCGTCTTTAAAGGCACATGAATTGTGGTCTGCTTTAGGATAATGCGTGATGCTCTCTTTGATGTAATATCCATTATTATTGCTGTTAGAATTTATGCACCTAGACATTGGTACACTGCGGTAAGTTGCTTTAAAGCCGGTAATAAGAACCAAAACATCTGATGGACCACATAGGAACCACTCTGCCAACAACTCAGAAGGTGAAATCGCTCTAACATGTAGAGGACTAAAGTCTACAGACTGCAATTTTACGACCAACTCAGTTGGGAGATAGTTACGTGTTGATTCAGAAATTTTAGTAAACACCAATTTATTCAGAATGAAAGGTTTACCCACTCCATAATGATTCATGTAGCGGACAAGAATGTGGTAACCAGTCTGTGGTAACAAACCGTTTACACGAACCGGATTATATGGACCAGATGATTCCACAACACGCCAACCATTAGAAGTGTTGAACTCTGTTACTTCCACTTGCACACCTGTTATAAATACATTCTCACCAAGGCTACGCTTCTTTATAACGTCCCCGACAGAATAATCGTTAATTAAATTCAGCACAACCCATGTATCACCAATATTAGTGACTTTAACATCTTTTGGGGGATCCGGCAACAACAAATCACCTTCATCTCCAGGCAACAGGTACGTGCTGCTTCCAGATGAACCCCCTTGAATTACTTGTACGAAAGAAGTCCGTGATGTAGAGCGTCTTGAAAAAGATGAAGAATCTTGAACTTCAACTTCACAGGTGTAAAAACCAGTGTCTGATACACGAAGAGCATTGATCTGAAGAGATCCGGAATTTAATATCACAACTCGAGGATTAGAGCTAGTGGAAACAGCAGAATTATTAACTAACCACTGTGTTACAATAGGTGTGAATGTATCAATGTTGGAATGCACTAATGAGTTTGAAACTTGTAAAGTATACTGAAGAACAGTTGAGTGGCACGGTAAAGTTGCAACCATCCCTTGAAAAAATGTCCGATTTTGGGGTCCGATTTCGATAAGCGGTAGGGATATCACAACAGACTCGATGAAAAGCTGAGCTGTTGACTTGACAATACCGGCTTTTTGTGATGCTTTGCATTCAAATAATCCTGCATCAGATAGCATAGTTGAGTTTATGAAGAGTGTCCCATTAGGAAACACCGAGTACCTGCCCGCTTGTAGTGGTTTCTCACTCGGCTTTGGTACCCAGAATGAGAATTTATCATGTAACCACCTGACGCTAGGAGGTGGGGACCCAGAAGTTAGACAATCAAATGAAACATGTCCACCAAGTGGTACTGTTTTATCCTCTGGTGTGATCACGAATATTGGTGGCGAAACTACAGATAAATGTGCGACAGCCTCTACATTACCGGCAACATTTTTCGCCTCGCATATATAATCACCGGCGTCGGATAACTGAACATGCTCTATACGCAGTGTCTTTCTATCAATTAAAGATGCTTGAATAATCTTGTTGCCTTCTCGTCTCCATAAAATTGTAGAATTGGGATCTTCAGAAGCCAAACACTGAAATTCTACAGAATCCCCAACAACAGCTTGCTTGCTCATCGGCGTAAATTTAAAACGAGGTTTACGACGAATAGTGAGTGTAGCTGACTTACTTTCCCAGTGACCAGCAGAATTCTCAGAAAGACACTGATATGTCCCAGAATCTTGACGTTTAGCGCCATCAATTCTCAGGCCCCCGCTTTCCATAACCCTAGTCCGTGAACTATCAACTATTTTCTGATTATTATGTTTCCAGTACACCGTAGGGGATGGTGATCCGATGGGTGGGATGCACTCCAACAAAACTGTCTGACCGAAATGGGCAGACTTACTTTCAGGACCAGACGCACTACTGGCATCAAAAAATGCAGCTTTCACAAGAGCGGAAGGTGAACTAGTCCAACCATGGACATTCGATGCATTGCAATAGTAGTGACCCTCATCCTCTTCACTGAATGAAAGGAAAAGAAGTTCGCCAGCATTTGTAATTCTGTTAGATGTACCTGGTTTATGCCGTTGAGTTTCAACAACTTTCCCGTCTTTATACCAAGTGATGGAGACTATAGGTTCGCCCTCAGCACGACAAAACAACCTAAGTTGTTGACGATGAAGCGGAAATGCATCTCTAGGATATTCAGTGAACAAAGGCTTTCGAGGTTCATCTTTGCAATCTACAGTCCACAGAATTACGATGAGCACGTAACTCAACAGTATAAAGTACATTAATTGAAATTATCCTGACCAGATATTATACCTGGTTAGTAAGGAAGGATAAATGAAGAGCGAAGTAATTCCATGTACATGTCCACGTACAAAAAGCTTAATTAAGTTCATTTAAGATCCACTAGTGATGAATTATATTCAACATCATAATTAGACGAAAACAAATACTTCCCGCGTTTATTTTAAGTCCAACACTGCGCTTTAGTTGCTACTTTTGCTAAATGCTGTGAACAAACAAAAGTCACTAAAAAGCCTACATCTTCATAAAACTGTTGATCATTAGGTAATAAAATTGGAAGTAACTCACAAAAAGTCTCAGTAATACTATAAAGTGAATGAAAAAGTAGTTACAGTAGTTCAGTAGTCCTAGTAAATGTAAGATGATAAATCAGTTTCAGATCAGAAAGGACAGGAGGTAAGATGGTCTATGTTAGACTTGGCAATGGTGGCCTCTTAGTTGGTTAATTTTTCAACTGTTGAAAGAGGGTTTTAAACAAGTGCTAAGGTGATGAATTCAATTCGTTGATTATTCGATTGGAAAGTCGGTATTCAGCTGACAAGTATTTTGTTCTGGGCTCATGAACTTTTACACAATGTCCTCGAAAATTCTCCGTTTGGCGAACAAAAAAATCGGGGGCACATCAGACTCGAGTTTATCACTAAGTTACTTAAAAATTGTGGTCAAATCGCTACTGGTTTTTCTATATGACATGGGACATAAATTTAGCCAGTCTGTCATCATATGGGAGCTTAGTGATTCCATTAATCGGTTTGGTTGGGATTCTTTGAACATGTTCTTGTTGCTCATTGTCTCTTTTTATGCTAGCTGCTTGTATCCAGTACTCCAGTTTAGGGCAAACGAATATTGTGTACAAAGTTACAAATGTTTCAGCGTCGACATATCTAGAGGTCCAACGTATTGACCTTAAGGTTAAAAACCTTTGATGGCTATCACATGGGAGTGTGCAATAATTTTTAAGTCTTGCCCGACAATGACTCCTAGGTCATCGTTTGTCTGGAAAACAAACAACTCAATGTTATTCACCGTGTGTGTATTTGTACCCTGGTGACAAATACTCATCATACTATACTTGGAAGTATTTACCGAAAACTGCCGAATTCTGAGCTATTCGGATAATTTCCACAGATCATTATGAAGCTCTTAATTGTCAGAGTCACTTTTACTCACCTTCCATATCCTAACATCGTCAGGAAAACCAATGATCATGAGAGACTAAGAAAATCATTTATATACAGGATGAACAACAATGGCACTCAAACTGCGCCCCTGAACACTCCAATGAGTATTTTTTCATCTAGATAACTTTAAGTTCGCCCACACATTATTGATGCCTAATTAAGAAGTCTGTTGAATTATGGTCTATTTCGGTATAAGTAATAGTGTAATAATAGACCTAATCCCGAAATTATAGATATGTTGCAATGTGACTGCCTAATCTTACGTGGAAGTCACATCATTTTCTACACTGACTCATCGTATCGTAAAATTCACCAATATATGATGGAGAACACATTTCGATTGGAAACTGAAAAAGGTATGGGCTACACAAGAATGCAAGGCCGAGCCATGCCATTCAGTGGTGTAAATCACCAGCGTAGATGATTTATGTCGAAGACTGGAGGCCTACTCAGTTCAGACGGGAATTGTGTGACGAACCGACTAACTTCGAAGTCACAATTCGCGGTCAGTACCCAACGTGAATTACTCCTTTGTCGTACCATGGACGCCTCAAAGACCGTACAACGCAAAGGACGCTATTACGAAAATATATTAGTAAGAATGAGTACAGAGAAGAAAGTGGGCCAGTCCATGACATACGATTAACTGATGCGCGTTGGTTGTTCTTAACCTTGACAGCAACCGATAATCTGTTCGATATTCAGTGACTCATCTGCCGGCTGATTTGGCTTGGGCTCAGTGACATCGCACTGGCCCTATAATACTCCCCCACCAGATTGAACGGCTGCTTGACTCGACACCAAACATATTGGAAGCAGTCGCGCGCCGGAGGTCACCGAACGATTATAATGAATCCTCCGGGCATTGCCGAGCTGCAAGACAAATGGAAAGGAGGCGGCATGATCGGGAAACAATGATTAATAATATGTTAGTGGGACGTTGGTAGAATATAATGCGATAAGCCATAGAAATAATAGAAAAAACATAAAGCTTTAAAATTATGTAACGGTATTGGGCGCTAAGCACACAGTCCTCACAGCTGAACACGAGACATCTGGAAAAATATATATTCAGCATTTAATGCATAGAAAAACCCAACGATGGAGAGAGCGGGAAGAAGGAATTCAATTAGTTCGAGTTGGCTGAGAGGCGTGGATCGGCTTTGCAGGCGTGGTCATACTCATGCAACCATTTTTATACATGTTAAATATAATGTTCTATCACCAGTCTAAATGTGTTCTTCATCACACAGATAATTGTTACAATACAATGAGTCAGAGTAGACAATGATGTGACTTCCACGTAAGATCTTATAGATTAGGCAATCATATCATGACAAATCTACAATTTTAAGATTATGTCTATTATTATTGCAGTACTAACAACGAGGTAAACCGTAATCCTACATTTGTAAGCGCGACTAAAGTTTATTTTTCTCGATCGATTTTTACCTATGTAAACCCATTATTCTATTAGCTCCTGATTATTGTCCACATGCACTATCGTATTGTAAGGTTGATCGGTACTCATAACTTACTAGCTACCATGGTTTAATAGCAATTACATGTTTCAGCGAAATAAACGTTTTTAAACGTCAAGCTCTAGCAAATATGGCCTTGCAGCGACATAAATAGACATTGGCTAGCAAAGCGAGCAAGAACTGAATGGTTATCTAGTTCTAATTCTAAATATTGTTCCTCCACACTTTTAAACTATGGAATATCTTGTAATATAAATTTTCGACCACTGCCCCCTTACTTTCCAATTTTTCAGTTCCATTGCCAAACAACAAGGATAACATCGTAGGAAATTACGATGAAACACAATTGTGTGAACGAAGAATATTCTTTTCAATAATTTATCATCAGGTTCTACAATTATAAATCCAGATTAATAATCCATAAAATTGGCCAGATTTAAGGCAAAATACATAATTTGGAAATTTTAATATGTGAATCAGGAATTGTTTGTTATATAAATAAAATCGTTAATGTTAGGGCTGACTAATATAAAGTGTTAACTTGAATCAGTTTATAAGCGAAATAAAATTGTGAGATAAATTATCAGAACAAATATGGTCAACATGGAGTAAGAGAGAGAGAATATTGTGATTACAAGTCGAAAATTACGTAATATGTAAAACAATTAGGTCAAATATAGTAGATTCAGGGATGAATATTGGATAAATTCCTCAAAAAGGGGTTATCAAGTGTAAAGACAATAATAGTAATAATAATAGTAACAATAACAGTAATAATAATAAGTTTGGGACATAAAATGAACATTAATCAGATTACGTCACCACATTATAAGATTGATTATTAGCTAGATGGCCAGAGTAAAAGGAGTGGCTGAACATACTTCTTTTGAATACAAAGCTCTGGCTTTTTTATCCGAATAGCAATTCTTTCAGCCGTCTGTAGGATTCACAGTCTGACGGAATTAGGTAGACTGCTGTTGACACGATAGACTATTGCAAAAGATTGCTCCGTGTTTGCTGTATGTTCTGTTTGGACTAAATGGTCTAAGATGGAGCTGTTAACAGTTTTGACAACACCTTTTCTTAACCACAACGGTAGCTGCTCACGAGCCCGAATGTACAAATTCCTAGAACATCTGCCAATATAACTTTCTCCACAGGAGCAGTTGAATTGATTGATACAGAAGGAGGTGGATAGTCTAGGTAATTTATCTTTCAACCTCGGAGTGATTATTGGTCGTGTGGAGAATACCAGTTGTAGTTTAGCTGCATTAAAATTCCTTTGAATTGATCTTCTTAACTTAAGTCTTAACATTTCCTTCTGAGCGTCGCCTCTGAGTTGTAAGCGTATATATAGAGGCTTTTTATTTACCGTCGGGCATTCTCTACGCTGTCTTTTATTGGCTAAGTTTTTATTTATAAATTTCTCCGGATATCCATTTTCTTTCAGGGTTGTAAACAATGTCTTTGTTTCATTTTCAATCGTACCCATAGTGCATATAGTCTTGATTCTATGATGTAGTGTCTTGATAAGGTTCCTTTTTCGTTGTGGAGGAACGAAACTGAGAAAGTTAGCGTATTGACCCGTCCAGGTCATTTTCCTGTTTATGTTTCTTTTTAGCGATCCATCTTTTCTCCTTGTAAGCAGAACATCTAGGAAGGTTATTTTACCCCCATTTTCTTTCTCACATGTGAATTTTATGGACGGGTGAGCTGTATTGAATTGCTCGAGTGTTCTTATCAAGTCCGTATGCTCGTTACAAAGGATAAATGTATCATCCATATATCGACGTAGCATCACTGTTCACAAATGTCCCACTCAGAGAAACTGTAGAATATATTTGTGAACATCTTAGAAAGCAGGAACTAGAAACGACAATCCCTGTGGAGATCAAAGAATTATTACTAAAATGCACTATGAATGTACATTTCAAATTCAATGGTGAAATCTACAGACAAATAGATGGCGTCGCGATTGGTTCACCGCTGGGTCCCATATTGACAGACATTTTGCTTTCTAAACTAGAAAACGGCCCACTGGCACAAGAGATCGATAAGTTTTCATTGTACCGTCGATATATGGATGATACATTTATCCTTTGTAACGAGCATACGGACTTGATAAGAACACTCGAGCAATTCAATACAGCTCACCCGTCCATAAAATTCACATGTGAGAAAGAAAATGGGGGTAAAATAACCTTCCTAGATGTTCTGCTTACAAGGAGAAAAGATGGATCGCTAAAAAGAAACATAAACAGGAAAATGACCTGGACGGGTCAATACGCTAACTTTCTCAGTTTCGTTCCTCCACAACGAAAAAGGAACCTTATCAAGACACTACATCATAGAATCAAGACTATATGCACTATGGGTACGATTGAAAATGAAACAAAGACATTGTTTACAACCCTGAAAGAAAATGGATATCCGGAGAAATTTATAAATAAAAACTTAGCCAATAAAAGACAGCGTAGAGAATGCCCGACGGTAAATAAAAAGCCTCTATATATACGCTT